TCTTTTATTGTTGAAAGTTTTAGCAGAGATATCCTTAGGTGCCAATTCGTTACGTTCGACCAGAGGATCCTAGGATCCCTTAATGCCAAAACTGAACCAATTTTCTGAGTTTCGCGTTTTGATCACAATATTGTTGCAAATACCCTACTTCGAACTTAGCAATAAATCTTACGACTCGCTTCCAAAACCAGGCCTTTCTCCTATGGAAAAGCCTTGAATTTAATCGAAGCTTCAATTTATGCTCAGTGCTTTGCCGTGTTTATTACTGTATTTGCACAAGCTGTTTATGTTCAGTCACTTCGGCGAAAGTAGTAAGAAATGAGCTATAACTTTCGTCATATCCATAGGAAGACTGCCAACAGTCCCCTTAAGTTTAAAGTTAATTCTTTTATTTAATATTTACAGCATTAAATCGTCAAATATCTGCACCTCATAAATTTTACTCAACATCGTACCAGTCATTGACTAAAAAGGTCTATCAGGCATAGTCAAAACCCGGTGTCACCGTCATCGTAAGAAATTACGCTGGCCGTAAGTTTTGCTGTCAGATGATCAAAAGCTGCAATCGGTCTCATGAAATTTAGTGCAACTTGCATTACGGCTGAAAGCCTGGCGGTGACGAAAAGCAATTGCTGCTCGGCATTCTTATATCTGATAATAGGTCAGAGGCACTGCAGAACAAGAATATCATCTAAAATGAACCACACTGCGAAATCAGCGGCTCTGTCTGACAATCTGGAGAACAGAAAATGATGATTTCCGCCTATGTTCTGAAGGCAGCGAAGAGTTTCTCGAATGGATGGCACAGATATCCGTATGACACGGTCGTTCAAAGTATATGAAATGAGCCATATTTAAAAATTATAAATTCTTGAATAGTTATGCTTTCAAAGGCAGAGACAATCTGCATTCATGGAAGGAAGCCAGCTTATTCAGATTTTCTACGGTGATGTTTTCATTGCACTCCCATCATCGCTAAGAAAGTAAATAGCTGTTAATGATTAAAACTGTTCAAGTGAATTAAAAATTCAAATCTTCATTTCTTTGATCTGTAGCCGATTTTATCAAAGCTTATGATTGGGCGGTTGTTATCGGAAGAAAACGATTTAATAATTACTGCACTGATTAGAGCATCCCAAAATTCACAAAAAGCAAAATAGTCGACCCATACGTCGAATTACACCCGCCGTTCAGATGTCATAATTTGCACTGAAGCGCTCAACGGCTTTCACTCAAAACTGTCAGGAATTTGGATCAGAAGCAATGGAGGGATGATTCATACATATTTGGACGCTTCTACAATATCTTGCAAGATTCGTTTTCAAACTCTGAAAATGACTTTATAGCACTTATCCAGAAATTAAGCAGGCATTGGATTCATCGTTGACAAGCAGTACAGATGATATATACGTCTTAGGCTGGTTCTAGCTTATTAATTTCGTACCCTGGTCTGGCAGCTTTCTCATGATTCTATTCATATTAAATGAATAAACTGATGGAAATTAAAGACTTCAAATTTTGGCTCTCTGTTTAAGCAGGTAGTTGAAGCACGTGCTTAATAAGCTGCACTCGAAAATTTCACGAACTGCCTGTCAGTCGAGTAAATCCTTCACATTAGATCGTATAAAACGTCGGTCAACATGCAGGCACGCGCAACATTTCCAATTTTCATGCCTTCGAACAACAAGAGGTAGTATTTTAAGGTAGTAATATTTTCTTTATGGCAGTATTGCAGTAGCGTAAGACGGATGACAGGCTTGATGTCGGACTGTACCCCAGGATTGTACAGGCTCTTTTGCTTCTAGTCGCCTAGGGGAACTATTTAAACTGGCCGCAATTTCTTGATATTTAATCGCCTGCGGTGCACATGATGCATACATCGCGTCATTGCGCTGGGCGGAACAGGAACATATTCGAGATCTAACAAAATTGCCACGATGCGTAGGCAAATATGCAGACATAATATATAACTCCAATGGCAGAAATAGCTACCAAAAATGGCAGCATACCGATTCAGCCGCCGGTAAATGCATCTTGCAACTACTGATATCGGATTTACACGGCGAAAACTGTAAAGTAAAGTCATTTACTTTACAGCAACATGGTGGAAGTGTTTGACGGGTGGCAATTATTATACCGGGTCGTACCATAACGTTACACCACCCTCGCTCGGTGCTGACGTTTTAATATGTTCATTTCAGCCAAACATAGTGACGTGATGCATACGTCCTATGCACTGCAGGCGTTTCAGTACCTTGGAACCGCGGCCTGCTTAAATGGATCCCGTAGGCGACTAGAGGCAAGGGTTAGAACCTGGTGAAATGAATGCAGTCCTTCTTACGCTATCGCAATATTGCTGTAAAGTAAATGACTTGCCCTTACAGTTTCCGTAATGTAAGTTCGATTGAGCAGTTGAAACGTAATATTTGCCTGGGGCCGAGCCGGAATGCTATTCTTGGTAGTTACTTTATGCCATCACAGTTATATGTTATTTTTTAAAACTTTCACCGTTCGAAAACTTTACATTGAATATTCAGCATGCATTCCTCATTCATGTAGACTAATGATTGCTTAGAAGATAAGTATTTGAACGATTCATGGTTCAGGGCACCAAACCCTGCAGATAGTACAACAATTTAATGCTGACGCGTCTCGGCTACGTAGACCGTAGCATCATCAATTCTGGCCTGGTCCTGATGATGATACGGTCTACGTAGCGAAATGCGTCAGCATTAAATTGTCGTACTATCTGCAGTCTTTGGTGCCCTGAACCATGAATCGTTCAAATATTAATCTTCATAATTATAGGCCCAGAATCGAAAACCTAAAGAATTATTAATGATTGTCAAATTTAGTTATAAGATAGACAGGATTTGCAAAATGTTTTTACAGCCATACTTTTAATCCAAGTTTCACTGTCGTTTTTGTTGTCAGTTGTTGCTTTGACAAATAAAAATGACGTACTGTGTTTCTCTACTAGAGCATAATTAATAATAAACACAAGAATAGGAATGGAAAGCTGAGCTAAAACTCTGAAACAAGCTATCGTCAACTTCATCTACTATTAACGGATCGAGCATTAAATGAGCTGCTTGATCTACTGGCTCCTCTGATCAGTAAGTGACCCTAAATTTGTTCAAATTATGTAACATGAGAGACTACTATTCAGAGTGGCAAATGTCATTGGTAGGAGCAAAGAAATCAATTAAAAAACGGGCATCACGCACCTGACGCAGTTTTGAAAATGAAAGCAATGCGTATCAAAAGTTGTCCACTCGTCCATGGTTTAAATGTTGGACGATATGATTTTTCCTTCGCCGTTTCGTTGTCATTTACTTATTATTTACTTTTGCTTATTTACTTATGCTCTGCTAATAAGCATTTTATATCTGATGATGAAATTCGATGAAATTGACTACCCTCTTCACTTAATGAAAATTTGACCTGCCCCATTATCAGTCACTCAAAAAATTCTCGCAGTGTTCCATTTCTACCTTCTATGTAAATTTAACACTCATGATAATGAATGAAACTAACATAAAACAAATGGTTTGTTCTCCTGCTGGTTTCAGAATTATTTCCAGCGGTTCCCATGACTATTGCCGTGTAAATTCATCACTAGGTAAAATTCGCGTCTTATTCTGAGATAAGGCATGGATTAAATTTTAACCAATTAAGCCCCAAGTCCATCAAAACTCTCTCACAGCACATTGCTCGAGCAGCTTTCTTTAAGCAGACAGTGAGCTTACAGCCTGGAGCAACTCGCCAATGTGCTAAAACTTTTAAATACGGAAGACAGGAACGTGAACTCTCCAGATTCTTGAGGCTCGGTTATTGAATGCGGAACAATGGCCTACTTTCTAACCGTAAACTTCATAAAATAACAAATAAATAATAATCGTTTGATAGATCATCGTTTCTTTAAGGATTGGTGAGTGAGAGTTCGGCTGGACGATAATAGCCTCTCGACTTGACTCTGGATTGGTACCTCCAAAACTAACCAAATGTTGGCTGGGTAGCAAACATGGCCAAATCTTCTTTACGTAAGTTGTCGCGCGTATAGCCAGCTTTCGGAAGCGACCCCATACAATGAGCATATCCTTTACTGATGAAACTTTCGGATGCATCAGCACTGATTCTTTGCCTAAGGTAGGATTACGAATCGATGGCAAAGAAATGTGTTTTTATGACTCATACTTTAACGCTTATAAGACCACGTATGCCGCCCGATGTGCGACATCTCGATTATCTGTCGAAAGCTTTCGTTCCTAAGGGAATGTTTATCGTTAAGTTATCATGAGAAAAAAGGCGATCTCACCGCACGCGTTCTCGCAAAGAGTGACATACTAATGAAAAGAGGCGCAAATCCGCGTGGCATGTGAGATGTCGAAACCGCGTTTTAATATTCTATCGTGTTCATCATCGCTTGATATAAAAAATGGGCAAATGTCGGTGACCCGCTGACCTTGTGATGACGGACGGCACTTTCATCGAAATTTAAAGAAACTTTCTGACGGATGACCGGCACACAAGCAACGAACACCGTCATCGGTCCCCCTCGCTGCATTACACCAGCTCACGGCACACAACATGAAGCGACACGACAAACGACGTTACAGGAAAATATGCACACTACGGGACAGCGTTCGCTTATGTGACAGCACAGTATCAACGAGCAGTCGGTGGTTCAGAAAGAGTGGACGGAGACGTGTGGCGGTTATGACGGCGACAGCCAGTTCGTTACAGTTGCAGCCGCGTGGCCAGAAAACAACAAGGCACTACACCAAGGACCTCTCGACGAACGGCACATTTATTGTTAAAGCTAGAACGAGTGTGATGAGTGACGAACGAAAACGAAGACAGCAAGTGCGAAGACGAATGACGAGTGACGAGTGACGATTACCAACCGAGAATCGAATCATACCTGTGAGCTGGCCGAAAATACGCTGCGGTGACCGAACCACAGATGGGCCAGTGCTGTGCTCAGCACAAGTCTACAAATGAAAGTGCGCATCGTTGGTAGGTGGTCAAGTGGTAGTAGACTGCGGCACTGGCGGCGGAGGCTGCTGCTGCGGTGGCTTCCAACGGGAGCCAGTCCAGCTTTAGACTGCGACGAGCCTCGCAACGCAGAGGAGGACGATGTCCGCAGTGACGACGACAAAGAATCGGTCTGCGACGGTGGTGATAGCCAACGTATAGCCGAGGAGTGTGAGAATGAGGGAGAGGGTGAGGTCGAGGGAGAAAGGAAGTGAGACAGCGAGGGCGGATGGGCGGATGGGCGGACAGGCGCAAAAGCGGGCGCCGAGGCGGATGAAGACAGCGTAGGCGAAGTCGAAGGCGATGGCGATAATGCTTGTCCGTGCGGCGACTACACCTGCTGAGCATGAGCAACGTCTAGAAATAGTTGAATTGCCAATAAAAGTGTCGCATGAATGGGTTTCTACGGTGCCATTAAGAAGGTCATAAACAAAGGCAGCCGGCAGATCCAAAAAACAATCACCACCGAATTCTATCATCAAGCCGACTCCACGCCGGCGTCTGATTCGCTGTCACAAGATATGCTGCGTAACGACTCGGCCACAACCAATCAGCGAGCGTCTGACGGCTTCAAACTAAGGCGATAAATTTTAATCGTAACAATAAATCAGATTTAAAATGATAATATTGCCGCGAGGTAAATGCGCTTGCACAACCGAAGCGCTGCATGGTCATTGTGGCCGGCCGACCGGCCGGATTTTCGCATTCAGCCGATGCACGGATCGAGTCGCTTTGAACCTCGCCGTCTGACCGCGTCCGCGGCCATCACTACCGTCGACGCGGCG